ACCTGTGACAGCGGCATCAAGGATTGGTAGAGGGAACTATTATGTCCTACATCAAAGAGATTTGAAAAAGATATTGATTATATAAGCAGGCGCAATACACTTCATTAAGTTAGTTTTTTAGAAGGAGAGTAATGGTCCCTTGGCATATTGCTCTTCAATTACACTTGCTTTATGGAATTTAATTCTGTTAGCACAACTGCATGAGTTTATTGTCCATGACGTAAAAATTTTAAGTCCCTCCAATGAGTTGGCTCTATGTCAAAATATATATATATATATATATATCCTTTCCACATTTCTTAGCTGTATAGATTCAAACTTCATGCATGAAGCATGATCTAAGAAATGGTACAAAGGTGGGTCACCATGTGTGTGGCTGTCCAAGGAAGGAGAGAACCTCAACGAGCTGTAGTTAGGGAAGGTTTGTAACTTGCAAGCCCCGTCGTAGTGTGTAGTTGTTTTTCTGATTGAGCAATTCAAGCGTCAAGCACGTGTTCCAAAGCAAAGCTGGTAAAAAGTAACATTTTTTGGACCGGGTTTTAGTTAAAGTATGTGGTATCCTTTCATTGTTTTTTGGTCCCTTTGTTCTCTAAAATTTTCCATTTTTTAAACATTCATTTCTAATTTGAGTCTCCTGAAATGGTATGCCAAACACACAGGTAAGCGAAAGATTTGAAGTGGTGCTGTCAAATTATGAATAGAATATGCATGATGAGGTAGTTTGGAGGGCGACGGCAATGAAATGAGCAACCGAAGGCAATGAGAAGCTCGGGGGAACATTGCTTGGAATTTGGTTAGCCTGTCCTGATTTTGTGATGGTCCTCGGTTTCATGTGCTCGAAGAAAAATGTGTTCCTAGAGAAGTCTCAGCCCATGGATTCCAAGTCCTAGGATTGATCAGTTGGTTATGAAAAAGACAGAAAATTGCTAGCTTTTATAATAATTTCCGGAGCAAAAAGTGTTTCCTCGTGATGCTTTACTTTATTGATCCTTAGCCATATGGATATACCTTTAAGGGGAAGAATATGCGGCTAAACCTCAACTTTTTCTTCTTCCTTCGTCATCTTTAATTTCTCTCTGCATTGGCCTCGGTAGCTCTAATTTCATTTTAATTTGATTTTTTTTAAATGCATGGGCATATATGTTTTAAAAAAATTCAAAATAAGAACTCAGCATCTACTGAAAAAAAATAATAATAAGAAATCATTTAAAATAATTTAAATATATATAAAGGAAGTCATGGAAGACACTCATCATAAAAATGAAATAGATAACTTTAGACTTTGTTAAAAAAAGTAGAAAAAAATTTAAGAAAATATTTTTAAAAATTATTAATTAAGATTTTTTAATTAATAATATTTTTAAAAATTTGATAATTAAATAAAAAAATATAATGATATTACGTAATCTATACAGTAGATGTCATCTAAGTGAGATAAAGTTTTTCATTGTTGTTGATTTTTTGGGATTATTTCTTGGGGGGAAAGAAATTGATACTGGTAGAATCGGACGTCATTTTCACTATATTTTTTAAATAGTAAAATCAATTATCATCGCCTACTTCCCATATTTCTTTATATAAAAAAGATCCATCTTTGCTTCCGAGGATTAGTACTCCGATGTATTCAGACGATAGAGCTCTCAAACGTTTTTTTTTTTTTTTAATAAATGGTTTCTTAAATTGTCGTCAACTCCCGTTTAGATTTAGACCTTATTTATATTGCACACTTATAGTTTGCATTTTGCAAGGAAACTTGTGAGAACCGACAACTACTTTTTCATCGTTATAAATTATTTTTATTAATCTCATTGATATCAATATAAAAAAATATAATAAATAAAAGTAATATCATATTATTTTTTTTATAAGAAGATAATTTAAAAAGTATTTTTTAAATATTAACTAAAAAGTTGTACCTTAACTGAGATCAAATAAACCTTTTAAAATATAATTTATAAATCGAGCCGAAAGAAGTTTATATTAAAAACCAAGATCATCAGTCATCATCGATATCTTTAGTAATTAATATATTAATATAAATATCTTTAAATCTTGTGAATGAATTTTATATCTTCAAAATCTTCGTTATGACATTTTTACCTACTAGTATTGTTGTTTTTGTTGTTTATATGTCATATATGTGTATATTATATATTATACGTTTTTATTCCTATTTCAATCTTCTATCTATCTATTTACAAAACAAATGTTCAATAGTGGTTGTATCAAGACTTAATGATGATTATATTTTCTGTTTAGAATAATAATTTTTTTCCATAGGAATTTGGGACAAAAAAAGGCTTCTAATTTATTCTTCAAAATTTCAATATTGGTTTTATCCAGACTTAAGGATGACTACATTTTTTATCATAATAACAATTTTTTTGGCACAGAAATTTGGAAAAAAAAATTCAACAAATCTTCAAATGTGTAACACAAAGGTCACCCCCCCCCCCAAAAAAATTCCTATGCAATGACGGTGGGGGCATATCTCTAATAGGTCACCCCCCCCCCCAAAAAAAATTCCTATGCAATGACGGTGGGGGCATATCTCTAATATTAGCAATAGTAACATTTTGCAATATAGTTAATTAGAATAAATAAGAATTAAGTAGAATTTAATTTAGATTATCATGGGATTAAAAATTAGGGTTTAAAATTGAATTTGGAAAAAAATACAATTTCTAGACTGCTATAGCCCACGGTTAAAACCTTCAATAATCTCTATCAACTATTGTCAAACTTCTCTAGAAAAAATTGTATCCTCTATTTATCACTACTCGCAACTAAAACCTTTAATAATCTCGAGTGCTTGTGGTTGAAAATTGACACAGGAACTCTTTTAAATGAGCTCAATCGCAAACGGTCAAAATTATAATAAGCACAACCACCCACAGTCAAACTGTCAAATTTGCATTTTAAATTGGTAAAAAACACAAAAAAACAAAAGGAAGAGAGAAAACAAAGAGGAGAGTTTGGGCTCTGCTATGGCATAGAAGATTCGACCATTTGAGGATTATTGGAACTAGGAATCACAAGAGATAAGTTCCTAATACATTCTTCTCCATTCAAGCTTCATTTTAAGTTAAGGTTTCTATCTTTCTCCCTTGATTTCAGTTTTTAATGATGTTTCTGACCTTCGGTTGGTTATAGCCAAATGTAAAATGAAGTTGTTAGAAGTATTTTTTGCTTCCATAACTCATGGTCAATTATGTGTAGCTATCTTAAGGGTGAAGAACATTGACGGACTCAAGATATTGATTCATGATTCTGAAAGCATCCTCAAGACAACTACCGTTAATGTAGCATATCGAAAACTTTTCCAAAACATTGATTTCAAACATCCTTAGTCATGTTATATTACTTACTTTCATTCACTAACACTTACAACGGTAAGGTGGAAGCTAATAATAGAGGGTGAGATTTTGTTGATGTCTTCATTGGCATGTCTAAACCAATCTTCGAGAACCTTGTAATTCTTGTAATACTACCATTTTATATTGAACAAACATATTATTATGATAAAATAAATTATGATAGAGTTGATACTTGATAGTTATTACAATGCAGTCATTCTAGGTTTTTTTGAAAGAAAATCTTTTCATTATATAATTTTTTAATACAGAATTTATTATTTCTTAATGTCCGAGGATCACACGGGATTTCTTTCTAGTTGAAGAGAGAGATTATTTTTTAAAAAAAATATTTAGTTTATTAAAAACTAAATGGATTAGGTTAATCATGATTGAAAAAGTATATTATAAACAGCTGGAGCATTGTACCTAATATGGCATCCAAGAAAAAGAGCGGAAGGAGACATGGACATAAATTAAAATTAAGATAAGGTGGTCATCACACTGATTCTTATGAATTTACGAATTATGGGCCCCCTGAATAAATCAACCCCCAAGGCATCTTGGGGCGAAAAAAGGACGATACCCAGGCATTTCATTGTAAACAAATGCTGTTGTAATTAAAAACGTTGAAAGACTAAATTATTAGTAATAATTCTATAAAAAATCAATCCCTTACAATATGATAAGTCAAGATTTAAATCCTTGCTGTTAAATGTACTCAATGTTTAATATTCAATCATAGTTCAAATAAAATTATTTTAACAAAAAGACTTGTGCATAACCCAAAAAAAAATATTTAAGCAGTTTTAAAAAAAATTAAAAGTCGATGACTTGCATAAAATTATTCAAGTTTTTTTTTAAAATAATTATAACCCCCTCATAATGCTAACGCTTTTTTCTATTACATGCTAAAGTAAATATATAACATCTAGTTAGTGTTTATCGTGCTCACTCAAGATTTTATACGAAAATATTGAAGCATAAATTATATTCAATAAATGGACAAATCAATCCTCATGTCACGTCCATGAACCACCACCACAAAAGCCAACTCACAATATGTTAATCAAGATAAAGTGGGGGGCTTTTGAGAGCACTGAACATTGGTTTAAGAATAGGGTACCAATTAATCCATCCCATCGCAATCCATTCTGCAATATTATATTTATAATCATTCGCCCTAAGATAAGGATCCTACCAGAAAGCCCACCAAACAACATCTTTCTGAATCAACACTCTGCCTACAGTGAATTAAGCAAGAGACTCTATGCGCATCCTCCGGTTTCGAAGATTCAAGAAACTGGTAGTTGTGCTCTGCGCTTCAAGATTGATGTTTATTTAAACAGCGAAGTCTATCTTGAAAGGATGTCTATTTACCTTGTCATTATTAATTAGTTGATGGATAACGACACTTACCTAATCCTCGAGTAATCAAGGCATTAATAACCAAAAAAAAAAAATTGAAACATCAATTCAAGCTTGCGTCTAATGCTATCTCAAGGATTCTCAAGTGTGCTTAATTCTCTTACATACAGCCGCTTAAACATTCACCTTTATGCATACATATATTATCACGTTTAACGAAGCAATCTCAGTCCCAAGATTAAGGATCAAAATAAACATATTTCTGGTGAAAAGATCAGTAAAAACATAAATCTGCGGGTTTTTTTTTTCAATGATGGGTGGAAACTAAGAACAGAGGAATACATCACTTATGATAAGCGAGGAAGCGGAGTGGTGAAGATGAAGAATGATGACAAGCAAACACATGGACAATGCACAGAAACAAAAGAAGACAAAAGGGATACAAAATACACCCTTGGACTCCATAGGCAATATGATATGCTTTATCTACAATTCATATGGCCCTCTGGTTTCTGGCTGTTTTTCTCTCTAAACCCTCCCAAGCAAGAAAGGAATTTCAAAGGGAAAAAATGCCAAATATCAAAGGGACCCTCAGAAGACATACCACCTAGCAGTGGCACTACGCCATATGAAATTGTTATTCTATTGGGAAACACCATACCCATTATATCCCTTTCTTCCACAAACCATGCATACAACACACAGCTGATCAGCTCAACTTAATTGTTGCTCCTGAAGGATCCAAGAGCTTTAATGGCGGCAGCTCTCAGAATATACTGATGGTACACTGCAGCCGCGAAGGCTCCAATTGCCGGGCCAACCCAGAAAATCCACTGAAATCAAAGGCATCAATTAACATCAGATATTTATATAAATTAAATGTAATTTGTTATAATATTGTTCTGGTTAAAATGAAAAGTGATGGATCGGTAGAAAGACTAACTTGATCATCCCAGACTTTGTCCTCGTTATAGATTACAGCAGCTCCGAAACTCCTTGCAGGGTTGATACCGGTGCCGGTGACCGGAATTGTAGCCAAGTGAACCATGAAGACGGCGAATCCAATGGGAAGCGGAGCCAAAACCTTTCATCAGATTACCAAGAATAAAAGTAAAAAACCAGCCACCTCTAACAAGAACATATATATAGGGAAGAAATGAAAAGAAAGGAGGGGGCATACAGGAACATGCGAGTCACGGGCGTTGCGTTTGGGATCGGTGGCGGAGAAGACGGTGTAGACGAGGACGAAGGTGCCGATGATCTCGGCGCCCAAGGCGGTGCCCTTACTGTAGCCGGTCTGGACGAAATTGGCGCCGCCGCCGTACCTGTCGTAATAGGCTTTTTGGAAGCCCTTGGCGAGTCCGGTGCCGCAGATAGCCCCGGCGCACTGTGCTACCATATACAACAACGCTCTTATCAGCGACACCTTCCGCCCCAGGAACAGCCCGAGCGTCACCGCCGGGTTTATGTGTCCTCCTGCGCTCACGTTAGACAACCCCTCAGCATTACTCGCCAAAACAAACTTTAATTTTGCTAGAATTACATTCAAACACCATTTAAAAAATTATAAATAAAAAATAATTAACACAAAATAAATTATTATTAAAATTAAAACATGACTTAATTTTTTAAAATCAAACTCATCCATTTTTACTGTAAATAATTTATTTGAGTGATCTAATTTTTCCTCTAATTTCACCCCCCAAGTTTTTGTCTAAACCATATCTCATCCAGAGATAAAAATAATAATAATATTCACACCACCTAGGTAGAAAACGCAGGGTTCTTTATAAAGTAAATCAAGTTATTTAAAGAACTACTTCAATACTTCAATTACAAGTATACAAGTTTTTTTTTCATAAATATAAAATATCTGATTTATTACCCATATTCCTCGAGTTTCAAGGAAACCCTCTAAACCCCGCAGCTCAATTTACAAGCTCGCAATGGCATGCTAGCGAAAAGCTAAAATATACGATGGCAAATATTTCGGATGAAATAATTACACTTACTTAAATTTTAAAGTTTTTATTTATTACGACTATATTTGAATGTCGAATATATTTCAAACCCAAATTCCAATAACTTGTAGTAGAAATATTTATCAACCGGTCTTAAAATAAAAATTTAGACATAAATATATTATTTAAAAAAAAGATGTGTATAAGATTTTTCTTATCTTTCTGTATTGCTTGTTGAGGGATTGAGGGATTTAAATCTTTAAAATTGATACCCGTAAATTTTGGTAAAACTTTTATTTATTTTTACCCTTCTATTACTTTTTATAAAATATAAAATTTTCTATTTCTTTTTCTTTTTTTGAAAGGCAAACTTCACAACAACTTAGCGAGCAAAGGACTGAAGGAGAGTTAAAAATGAAAGTGCAAAGGTGGTGGTTGTGTGATACACTGAAATTAGAAAGTATAAACTTTGTTTCAGAAAACAGAATTCAGAGAAGCTTCTGCATCACTGCATGGATGTGAGAATTATTGTCGGTGGAGAAGTAAGAAGAGGACATGTATACGTACCAGAGATACCGGCGGTGCAGTAAACGAGGATGAAGATCATGCCACCGAAGGCCCAGGCGATGCCCAAGATGCCGACGCCGCTGCAGTCGGTGCCACCCTTACCGGTGTCCGTCTCGCTGTTGTGCCCAATGATCGTCAACACCGTTACGTACAGGAAAAGCAGCGTCGCCACGAACTCCGCTATCAACGCCCTGTAAAACGACCACTTCCCCAGTTCCTCCGCATCGATCAGCGGAGCTGGCGGCGGCTCATGGTAGTCCTTCGCCGAGAACTCTCCTTGCTCCACCACCTCCACATCCTTCGTCATGATCTCTTCTTAGCTTGCTTTCTTTCTTGCTTTCTCACCACCACTTCCTTATGCTGTGTGTGTGCAGAGAGAGACAGAGAGGCAGAGAGAGAGAGAGAGACACTGTTAGTTGCGGGCTGATAGGCGAATAGAGAAGGGTATTTAAGGAACGAGGGAAAGAGTGAGGTTATTGTAAATTATTTAAATAATTAAAAACCCTAATTTTGTAATCATGTGCCCGTGTATTTTCTTGTGATTAAATTTTGCCGCCCTTATTAGCTCGATTTCGCTTGCACTGGCCCACTAATTGCCTCTCCAGCGGCTCTTGATCATTTTATAAAGTTCCCCTCAGCATCTCTTTTTCCTCCTTCGATTTCTCTCCGTAATTTTTTTTTATAATTATTCAAGATTAGGTTTTTAATTACATGGCCCAGTATGACCTATAAAGCTTCGAATCATTCAACGACTACATATGGCTGGCTGGGGACCCATCGTGACAATTTTAATATACATAATATGGAAGTAGCAGGTAACCAAGCAATGCAACGTTCTATACATGTATTTGCTTTTGTCCTGCCTGTCTCACCCTCTTTCTTATTTTGAGTTGGCCCAGAAATTTCTGTCATCAGCTTTATTGTTGAAACCAAACAAAAAAACAGAGGGGGGGGGAATTAATTGAGTTTGTCATGTATATGTAAAAATATTGACTTAGTAATGGTGGTGCAATTGTAGAGGCGAGAAGTTAATTATTTAATTAGTGGCAGAGAAATACATTGGCATAAAGTAATGGAGGTAGATTAAGAAATGTTATCCTGAAATATTGTTAAAAACTGGGATGGCGATGATGAAATTGGGAAACATAAAACGAAAGTGAATAGAATAAGAGGAAAGGTAGTTGTCATTATTGGCGGGTGACGAGGGCATGGCAGAGGAACTTATCTGGAAGCGTCTAGTGTGTGGGATCAAATGGGTTTTGAACACGTGGGATTTTGGATAATTCCCACCACGATGAAGTCCACTACTATTTGGAATATATTAACCATCATTTCAATTAATAAATCACGCTCAGTGAAATCACCAATTTATCGTTCTGCATGATTGGGCAAAAGAGGAATGCGGAATGTTCTAGACGAGTTCATGTTGGTTTAATTATTTAGCAGCAGTTGTTTTTTACCAATACACCACATACCCAAAAAAAAAAAAATCCAGATGTTACAACGTGAAAATTATTTATCAAAATACTATATTAAAAATTATTTAACTGAAAAATGAGTTTGAAGTTGTGAACAAATTATTTAAGTCAAGAATGATTTTAGAATTAAAAATAATATTTTATTTAATGATATTCAACTTTTTTTGTTGATGTGATATTTTATTTATTTTTAAAAATTTCTACAATAATATTAGGGATATACTTAAGGATGGATCAAATGTATTAGTAATGATGGTAGGTGTGTAATAAGTTTTTTACTTTCTTCAACTATTAGACAAATTATTTGTTTAAGTGTTTCTAAATCATTTGAATGAAAATGATAAGTAAATAATTGTTATTAATATGATAAAGAAATTATTATAAGATGTATTAAATTAAAAATTATTAGCAATAAATAAATAATTATTAGGTTTTAAAAAATTAATAATGAATGATTAAGTTATATGAATGAAAAGTGAAAATTAATTTACTTCACAAATTATAACTTTCGATATCACATCTTGTTCTCTTTCTCATATGTTGTAGCAATTGTTGTTACATATTCTTCTCTTCTTGAGATTCAAGTATTTCATTTATCTATGTGATCAATGAATTTAAATTAAATTAAGGTGATTCAACTAAAGAAATTAAATGTCATGGAGTAATATATGTTTCATTTGATAGTCTATCATGTTCAAAAGAAGAAATGTTGTATTCAATCAAAAATAATACAGTATTATTAATTAAAGACATGAATGATCCAAGTTGAATAGAAGTGGGTGAGTTGAAAGTGAATGATGGCGAGGGTGACATGTAATAAGGTTTAAATTAAGTGGGATTGGAATAGGTGAAATGAGCTAATGATAATGATTAGGCTAACATGTAATGAAATTGACTAAAAACTTGAAGCTCTTATTTTCCTATATTTTCATTTTCAATTGGTGGTTCGATAGACAAATAATCACCACGTTGCTTGCTTGATTTATCTCAAGGAATATGTGAACGAGGCAACTCAATTCTTGATAAAGTTAACCAAGGGTCCCGTTAAATTGTTGTTCTCTAATTGCAAGTAAGATATTGTATTGGTTTTGAGTAACCTATCTCAATAATCAATGCAACGAGAACATTCTGAACGAGAATTAATCGCTAACTTGTATAATTAATATGTTACGTCAGCCTAAAATAAGCAATAATATTTTAAATTATAACATTTTTTTAAGTAAAAAAGATGCTATAAGCGAAAGAAAGTAAAAAACTTACCACATATTCAGTATCATTACTAATACGTTGGATACATCTTCAGTTATATTTTCAATACCATTGCAGAAATTCTTAAAAGTAAATAAAATGTCACATCAATAAAAAAATTAAATGATTTCACTTTTTATTGAATAAAAATAATAATTTTTTATTTTAAAATTATTTTTAATTTGAACAATTTATTCACAACTTCAAACCCGTTCTGTAATTAAATAATTTTTGGTATAGTATCTAGGCAAATACTTGCAGCATCTAAGTAAGTTTTTTAGTATCAGCAGTATATTGGTTAAAAAGCCATTGGAAGAAACTTCGTGCCTTCTCTTTATTTAATTTAACTACATTATTCTTTTACTTTTGCGCTCCCTGACATTGGGGAAATAGCGGAAAGACCCAAGAAATTATGAGTAACAAATTAAATAGTCTAATACGATCTAATAAAAAATGTTTAAATTTTTATCGAAAGAGATACTTATATTTCACATTCAATCATGCGATAACATGATTGTTTTCTGATAACTGTGCGTGATAAAAAAAAATTCTAATAGGGCACTAATAATTTGCTTTTGTTTCTTGTTTCCTCTACATGGAATTGTCAAAAGAAAAAAAGTGCCGCCTCAGTAGTAATTTATAACACAATTTTATACAAAATTGTATATGTTAATAAAATTTATTAAATATACTTTATAATTTTATTTTTTAAAAAATTAAAATATAAATTTTTATAAATACATTTCACATAATATAACACTATCTATCAAACATTAAATAGAGGAAGAAAACAAAATACAAGAAGGATGGAAGGGTATAATCAGGACAAGAATAATTAATGAAGTCTTATTGTTATCCAAGTATCTTATATTTTAAAATATCAAATAATATCTAAAAATATTTTATAAACTGCGACAGAGAAAATACTAAGAACAAAATATGATATGTCATTCTAGGATCAAGACTAGATTTTATACAAAATACAGGAAAAATTACTGGTTTTTATTCTTCATCGTGTTAGAAAATTTTGTTATTACCCGTGAATTAGTACTGCTTAATAGCCATAATTAATTACCAAATGAGAGCTATAAGTGTAAAATAGTTTATGATTGAATAAACTATTACATGTGAATTAGCCATAATAACATCTTATGGTTAAATAAAAACATAATATATATGCATTTTGCTATCATTTGATGGTTCCAAGTGGCTTTTTGTATCTGGTATTCAGTTCTCCATCATCCTCAGGGGTGTGTTTTATATTACCTAATATAGTCAGTATATGCACCTTGTACGTTTAAAAAATTGCACTGGTCAGAGATGAGTTAAATTTTAGCGTGAAATAAAATTGAACGGTGAGGATGGTAAGAACAGACACGGAATTGGCGGCCACGTGAAATATGAGGGCGTGCAGCTTAGTTGTGCTGTAAAATTAAGTTCATCATGAAAATATATTAGAAAAAATTATTGCTGATGACCTGAACAAAACTAATATTTATTATAAAAAATATTAAAAATAGCAATTATTGAGAAAGACCAAATAATAAATTTTAAATTTTAAAATACAAAATTGTCTCAAATCAAATTTTTTATATTTTTTCCAACCACGTGTTATAACTTTGGCTGAAAAAAACCACGTCATAAATAACAGTGATAAGTAAACAAATAATACTAAAAATTAAAAAAGAAAAATAGTATATCATAATTATGGGATTTTAATTTTGAGGGAGGAGGGATGTGCTGTGGACAAGAGAGCGCCACGTATGAAAATGAGAAGCCGACCCTGATGGAATTAATTAATGAATTCAAAATGGCTATTTCGTTGAGAATGACGGCTGGATGGACGGTGGCCTGGCCATCGCTCATTTTAAAATTGTGAAAAAAGTAAAGGACAAATTAAAAACCAGGGAAGTACAGAATCAAATGATATAATCAATTTGAAGAACACGACGAGTAAACATACGTCTCCCTTTTCATGACCTCAGAACGGGGACGCTGTGCCTGCCTACACCGAGAGGGATCACAAGTCGATAGAGTCATCGTCTTCAGGATCAAAATCTTCCTCTGGAATGGTGTCGAGCTTGCGAGTATCGGAAGGCCTCCTGGGGAATTCCAGAAGCGAAGGAACCACCTCCATCCAAGCCTTCCCGCTCCGCCGCCTCACCTCCTTCGCCATTGTATTGCTCCGATATGATTGATCCGACTTCTCTCTCCTTCTCTGCGAGCCCAACAGGATCAAGAGAGACAGAGAGATGAGATATACCACCAGATTCGATTATTTGGTACCAATGGCGGTGACAGCAATCCTATATATAGGGAAGCTTGAAAGAAATGGGGGGAACCGCGTGAAAAATGATACGGCCGAGGGCACCACGTGTACAATAATCATTCATGATTCCCAAACAATGGAGCTCACCAACTTTCCCCCACTCGCCACAACTGGCCGGACGAGAAGCGATGCCTATTCCTTGGGCAACGGACAACCCTTGTTTACGGTTCCTTCCATTAATGCCGACCATTTTCTCGGTGCTTTCTTGGCCATGAATCATCATTATATGGTTACTCGCCTTCATCCACACTACCACATCGCAATTACTCTCTTCCATTCCTACCTTAACTAGGAATCTTCCAGATTCGCCACCTATCAATTTCATCTAACTTGATCGAATTATTAGTTATGCGAGCCTTGAGCTTGGACGTGCTCTGCCATATGAGCTAAAAACATCTACTAGAATTCCAATTCAGTTCTTTTCTAAAGTTTTGTTTCGCAACTAAAAGTCTAAAACAATGAAACAACGAACAGTGTTGAATGCAATGACTCGCGTTTCAAGTTTTCACCTTCGTCTCCTAAAATTAAATACTTTTTTTATAATATAAGAAAGAATTCAATACTGTTTGAAACATTCGGACTATTTAATCAGATGGCTGAAACACTGTTCCAGATCGAAACAAACATGCTATCATCTACAGGTTGCATCAACTTTTTGTTTTTGTTTTTTTTTTCTTTTTGTTTTTTGCTTTGTTTTGTATTGCTTTTTTTTTTTTTCCCGAATCAGGAGGCAAGCCCAAGCTTGAAAGAGTTGTATTGACTTTCCTGCTTCAACTAAAAACACAACACAATGGACAGCATGCGACTACAACCTAATAACAGGCCAAAATTGATCGACTCCCACGATCTTCATCCTACCTTACTTTCATTTAGAATTATAAATTGATACCTCGAATTCAAAGCATGCCAATCGTTCTTCTTAAACTTCCCCCAGGACAAGTTCTCAGCACGTCTTGTCTTCATACAAGGCTTCGAACAGAAACACATGCCCGCATATTCTATGCCATAAATGGTGCATGTGATGGGGGTTAGAATGCAATAACCAGCGTAAATCTGACTACTGAACGCATCAACAAATGCTTTGAGGCGGAAGAAGCCATCGAATGTTGTCACTACACAAATAACAGAATAGTTGACAGAGAGAGGAGAGGGAGGGATTGGGCAAGTACACACTTGAAGAGGAGAGAGATTTAAAGCTGTTAAGGTACTGGGTAACAACGACGATAAGTAAAAACACGTGACACCACAAAACGGTTTTCACAAGATTAATGTTAAATTTTTATGGACGAATTACGCGTCAAAGCCTCAAAGACTCCTTTCGAAACCTTTTCAAATTTAAGGGACTAAGTTCGAAACATAGGTAAATTAAGAAATAAAAAGAAAATTAACCAAGACTTTATTTCTTCCCGTTAACAACAAAAAATAGTATGTAGACTGTTCACGTCTACAGTCCTTCAACAGGCATTTGCCAAACAAAAAATCAATTAACATGACTGAAACTCCTTGCCTAACGGTGACAGAAAAACTGCCACTTAAACAGACTTAAGAATTGAAAACTATTCAAGCCTTAAGGTGGTTGACACCCAGCCAACTTACAGATATAATGATGTACTGATGACATCGTCAAACATGAACCCAATATCACAATGACTATATATAAATTCATAACCTACAAAATAGAATCATTAGCTTTCAGAGAAAATATACAACTCCAAACCCCCGACCTTGAAGCATGTCACCTAAACATAAGGTAGATCCTTATTGTTGAAGTAGATGGGATGAACCAATGAGCTCAGATATTATTAATGAAATAGTACTTATACGTCTATCAACAACAAGTAGATTAACACCTGTGGGAATTAGACTAGCGTAAAGTACCACTTTGCAGGCACTTCCCTTTGCTTCAGAACCAACACCTTTAGTTTTTAGTTCTTCGTAACACACAAAAAGGGGCCTGCAGAGAACTAAGAGACTATCGAAATTATAAAGTTTAGTCATGAGGTCCCGCGAGAGTAAACAAGTGCAAAGCAATGAAAAAGGGCAACATAACTACATGCCCAAAGTTTTAATTTGTGCCGTCACGAGACTGAAAATGTTCAAGATCAAAACCCTCAAATCAGTAAAAAACAACTCAACTGATCTATATTTCTGATGAAGGGCAACTGGATCATTTCCATAAGACCTTGCCCTAGCAGACAGATGGCTAATTTTCTCCTTCAATCGAAGCGAACAGAAAAACATACAACGAAACTTAAGATACAATATGCTCTCCAAAAAATCCGCCAAACCAATTCTGATATTATTGTTAAACAGAAATGGCTGTAGTGAACATGCTAGATACTGTTAATCATAAATCCCTCTCCCAATCCTCGCACTCATGAGAGGCCATGCCATTAGCCCTCAAGGTCATTGGCAAATGGCACGTCCTAATGCAGAAAAATATGTGCACAATGGAGTTCCAGCCAAAGCCTAGCAGGAATAGAATAAGAAATAACAGGCACAATACTAGTAAGTACAGAAACAACAAATCCCTTGAAACGAAATTAGGAAGAATGAATCTGATCAGAAGCAGAAAAAAACAGCCAGCACACCAGAAAACAGTCGGAATTAAAAACAAATACAACACAATTCAAAAGCTATCCATAAGTATAATGCCAATGCGCGTACCTAATAAAAACATTAAAACAGACAATGACTAAATAATCCATTGATCAAAGGGATGACATTCTGGAAACGAAAATGAAATCAAAACTATAACCAAATAAATTATTGTCCTCGTAAGCAACTTTAACTAGCAAATACAATATCTCCAAATCATCTAGATTACTCAAATTGTAAGCAAAAGCGCATGGTCTCCAACTGTTCTCCAATTTTTTTATATCAAAAATCACTGATTTGACAGGATGAAGAAAAAATGGACCTCATTCCAGAGGGACTTCAACATCTCCATCAGTGATCTCCTGCTGCAAGTCCTTTGGGTCCTTCCCGTCCACTGTGCAACCAACAGAGACGCAAGTACCAAGGATCTCCTTTATAGTCCCGGAAAGGTCCTTAGCCATCGACCTCGGCCTCATAGTTCTTGCAATCTCGATCACATCATCGAGGGATATGTTGCCATTGTGCTTAATATTCTTAGTCTTCTTGCGGTCTCGCTCGGGCTCTTTCAAGGCCTTGATAACAAGCGCCGCAGCAGATGGCACCACTGATACCTTGGCCTGGCGGTTCTGGACGGTGAGCTTAACAGTGACTCTCAATCCCTTCCAGTCCTTAGCCGTCTCCTTCGCTATGTCTTCACCAATCTTCTTAGGAGAGAGACCGAGAGGACCGATCTTAGGGGCGAGCGAACTGGCCGCACCTACCTCGCCTCCGGTGACGCGGACATACACATCGACGACCTGTGAGGGATCGAACTTGGGCGGCATGGCTGCAGCGTGGAAGAGCTAGGGTTTCAGAGGAAAATGGAAAGATGGCCAAGATTGATATATATATTGGGGTTAGGGTTTTGCCGAGTGTGAACTGAAATGGCTGTTTTAACACTGAGCTAAGCCGAGATTTCACATGAAGGAAGCGTCTCTTTGCGGTGAAAGGCGAGGGTGTATTTGTAAACTAGTTTATGGACTGATTTTGCACTGGATCTCGGCCAGAACTGAGGAAACCTTTTGTAACTGGGCTGAAGCCCAAATCATTGTTCACATTACTGTTCTTTTTAGGCCGAATCGTGGATAGCATAAGAAAATATCCTTGGGCCTTCTGGTCACAAGCCATTTCGGTGTTGGACTTCCTTTTTTGTACAGAAAAACGGTTACCGGCCCAAAAAAATATTTAAGGCAGGACAAAAGCTCGCAACAATCTTTTTGTATTGATTGCCTTTTTTTTTTTTTCACTCGCAACCTCAGGAAACAAGATCGAATCATCGTTACGAGATATATTCATATTTTATGTTTAATAATAAAATTATCTTTAATGAAAAACACTTATAAATAATCAAAAAATAATTTGTTTGGTATGTATAAAGAGTAGATTTTATTGACGGCATAAAATATCTCCCTCAAAATACAAAAAGCATTAAGTAGACGTCTCTCAATGCAACATCTGCCGCCAAAAAAATTGTTATTTCGAGGCACAAGCTATTAAGGAGTGGTGGTATTAAGATACTAAAAATATTAATTGATGGAGATTATTAATTTTTTTGTTGTGGAAGTTATTAATTATAAGTGGTGAAAATAATAAACACTTATATTCAGTTAAATCAAAATAAATAAATTTTAATGTGTCAATAATATTAACAAAAATAATTTATTTTAAAAAAATAATATATAAAAAATTTACATATATTAATTTAATTGAAAATAAATACTTCAAACACATAAAGTCATATGTTTTCTCAAAAATAATATCAATTGTCATGATAGGCGAAATAAAGTAACATTTTAGTCAATTTGCTCATGGTTTAGTTAATCTATCGTCCAAATCTTCAGCCGGTCGCCTGGTCTGAAACGTTTTAAGGCATTTAAACTTATATAGTGTCCAGCAATTCAACACCTCCATGCCAGCAAGCGGGTCCCAAGAACGGTAAAAGGTCAACGTAAAATAGAAATTGCATGATAAGTCACGTTAACGATGCATTCATGTTAATACTAACAAATGAAATAAAATATAGGCCATATTTGGTAGACTGAAATTATAAAAATAAAATTAAAAAAAATTTAAATAAAGTGATATTTAGTAGACATGAATAAAATTTTTAAGAATTTTAATTTTAAAATAGATTGAATTAGATTATTTGTTTAAAGCTATAGAATTAAGGGCAATTCCATAAAATTGTAACTTTTAAGACACTTTTATCCTTATAAAAATTATAAAGACACTTTTGCCCTGAAAATATATAACCCTAACCACACCAAATTATAATATATATGTGTATGTGTAAAATATAATACGATATATGTATTTATAATATTTCTTCTATGAAATATTTTACTTATATATATTATTTATCATCTATCTAATATTTTATTTATATACTAAACATGTGAGGAAATTAAAATATTTTTTGTAAAATATTTTACTTATATAATATCTATCATCTATATAATATTTTATTAACATATAAAATATATAAAGAAATTAAAACACAATTAAGCTTTTATTATGTTTTATTTTAATTTCTATATAAGGGTATTTTTGTCTTTTACTTTCATATTTTATTATACCAAACAAAAATAATATAAGGATTTTATTTAATTTTTGTTTGACATATCAAATATATTTTTATAATTTAATTTTATTTCAATTTTAATTTTAATTTTAATTTTAATTTTATTAAAAATTATTCAATCACACCAAATGAGGACATAATGTGAAGCAGGAGTGAGATTACCGAACATTTTCTTTTGCGGAGAGGGTGACAGATCATAGATGATAAATAAGAGCATTTTAGGGGAGGGCCCGCTGGACTGGCGTGTGTTGTCAATTCCATTTACAAAATGCATGTTCCCATTTAATGTGGTGCCTATCCAAACTTATCCTTACGCCACCAAAATCAGAAAGCTTTATTTTTATCTTCCTCAATCCAAGAAAATTTCCCCAAACTAATATATAATAAAAAAATTAAGAAGAGGGATCTAATACTATTAAAATTAAAATTTACCATAAAGGATCGTAAAAATTAAAATTAGGATGAAAGATCAATATAAGTATAATTGACTGCTATAATCATAATATAAAATCGGTCAATAATTTCTTAAAATTAACATGGGGCACTGTATTACAACTGCAGTTTTTTTAAAAATAAGTTTGTACAGTTTTCAATCTCACACACAAAAATAAAAATAGTATTACATTCAATTAAATCAATATGATTTTAAAATATTTATTTTAAAAAATTAAATCAGTATTATTTTAAAAAATCATACTTCTAAAGAATTATTACATTTTTCTTTGAACATCTTGTCTCAATCTCCGCAATTATGAATTTCCAAGGGACATAATTTATTACGAGTTTTTTGGTATTGTTTTCGCTTTATTTTAATTTGTTATTTTTCATCTCCTTATTATTTACACACACCCATGTAAAAAACAAAAAATTTCTCTCAAATAATGACTTCTCTTTAGTAACTAGAGATTTAACTAGAGACAATTTAGTATTTTAAAATTTAAAATTTGTTATCTGGTCCTTCTAGATAATTAATGTTTTTAAGATCTTTTTTAATAAATATTATCTTCTCCATGCGTTCAAAAAAAAAAAATCTTCTCCAGATCATTTGTTATTATTTTCCCTTATATAATCATGGCTCCCAATGGAACTTGAGTAGGTTGGTTGATGGAAAATGGGATAATATATAATTAGGATAATTAAAATTTATTTAAGATATTAGGATAATAAAGGTTTATTATTTTTTATTACTTTAGATTTCTTCATGATCAATAAAATATGATATTACCATAATAATATTTTATATCAGTATCTTTTTAAAATAAATTTTAGAATTTAAATTAATTATTTTATTATTTCTAGAAATTTATAAATAAAATTAGTGTTTTATTTCTATTTAACTTATTATTGTTGGATACAATTTTGAATAACTTTGAGTTGAGAATTTTTTATAATTTTAATATTTCCCCTACTCCTTTCTCTCCTCTCTCTCCTTTTCCTTCCCTTCCTGATTTACGTCACTGGTTAAACATAAATTACTCATTGGATTTGTAACTTTTCCCCATAATATCTCTTAAAAGTTATGCCTCTGCACTATAATCTAAGATATTTTTGAAGAATTTTGTTTGATCTAAAACATAGGACACTAAGCAATTTTTATAATTATTTTGTAACCATGTCTTTATCTTATATATTACCCTTTTTAAAAAATGATATATTAGATTTTTAATTATCATTATGAAGGAATTTATTCAGTATATTTAATGAGAATACAATTGAAAAGATGTAATTTTTTTTAAAAGAAAATAAGATTTCAACTAAATTTTTTTGAAATTTATGAATTAATTATCAATATTTTATATTTTGATCTAGAGGGACTATGAGCTGTGACCAATTTTCGAATTGATGATATACTTGCTTATTATTCACTACCCGTGTTTTGTTAAGACGAGGTGAGGAGCAATGTCTCGAAATTTAATTATGTTTGTATACACATAATAAATTACCCTTGAAATACAAGGAATAAAAAGTGAAGTGAGCAACGATAAAGCCTTTGTGGGAATTGCGGCAAGCCAGTGGACGATCGAGGATGACACGGGGATGGCATAAAGCATCCACCTGATAGGTAGGCCTGATAATGGGAAGGAAGATAGTGCCCACCATGCAGATTAAACAAGTCACGGGAAAAAACGGGGTCAAGCCCGTAACTTTGCTCTTTGCCTTATAGATAATTAATCATTCCAGACATAGAATAATTATTTGTTGATGTTAGCTGTTACAGATACTTTAATTTGATCAGCGAGTAATCAGGAGGATGTAATCAATGATAATAAATTAAAGCTAGATCTAAGATTTCCCCATCTCATCCCATCCCCAATTTCTAAACGACCAGGTACAAATTCTTCGGATTAATAATCTCGCGACTTTCTCTCATCAGGAGGACACATCACATGGAGATGTGAACCACTGGCATTGACTGTTTCCTTAAAAAAAACACATCAACTTGCTGGTGGATCAGTGTGACACAGCCGCGCAATTTGGGTTAATTCGAGTATATATAAATGACAAGACGACAGACAAGAAAAGAGAACGAGAATGATTAAATCATTTCACGATGGGGCACAATGCAGGAAGAGGGATCGCCACAGGCGTCCCACTACAGCATGGTGATCTCTCGGAAAAGCAAGAGTCCCATTAACTCGAGGTGATACCAAGTCTGGTTTGTTCAACATGGATCCCAGTTTGGTGCCTTTTCACTATTTAATAGTTGAAACCAAAGCCCACCAATCAAAAGCTGCGAGCAAAGTATTAGTATTCCTGGCCTTTTCATGAGATGCTGATTTCATTAGTGGCATGCAAATCCTCCCAGAAATGCAAACCCCAATCAACTCATATTTACTTGACTCTCTGAGACATGTTCCACATTACTCTTGCGATACAAATGTGGGCATAAATTCAACCACGACTCTACTTAGGGTCTGTTTAGATTTCAGTTGGGTATAATAGATTATGAAAATAATTGATTAAGTGGTAGATTTTAATCATAATTGATTATGTTATAACGTAATCTGTTTGGATACTGTTTTTTTAAAATTAATTTTAACAGAATTAAAGATATTTGGATAATTTAATCAAAATTAATTTTTAACTATATAATTTAATTTTTAAATATCAAATATTAATTTTTTAAATATATAAATTTTAAATTTTATTAAGGAAAAAAAAAGAAGAGAGTTTAATTTTATTTTTATTAAATTATGTGCTTTCTTTGTAATTTTTTCCTGGGCTTGTTTTTGTAATTTTCCCCAACGTTTTTGACAAACTTTTGGCAGAAAGCGGACAAAGGGAGCTTCGGGAAGAACGTGCGTTTT